TCTCTCTCTCTCTCTCTCTCTCTCTCTCTCTCTCTCTCTCTCTCTCTCTCTCTCTCTCTCACACACACACAGTGTCAGTGCCTCGTTCCTCTTCCTGGACTCTGCTCCTGAGTCTGTAGCCCACCCCACCCCGACCCCCAGCCTCGGGGGCACTCACCCTCCATGTTGCCCACTCCTGCCGGCTCCAGGACGCACTCCAATAGAGGCGGGCACCTTCGGGCACCTTCGCACCGTCGGGCAGGCTGGGGCAGATGACCGTCTCCAGGTCTGGGTGGCCCAGACTGGTGCCCCTGCTTCTCTGGTCGGGGCCAGGGTCGCCGGCGGGCGCTCGTGGGTGGGCAGGGGGCACTCACTCCCTGGGGTCCGGGGCGAAGCGCCCGCGCAGCGCCGCAGTACTCCGGACTCCGCAGCCCGCCCTGCGCGTCCGGGTCAGAGGGAAGGAGGGGGCCGGCGCCGCGCCGTCACCATGGCACCCGGCACACCTGTGCTGGGCCCAGCGAGGGCGCCCGGGCTCGCCTCCTCCGCCAACTCTCGCCCCAGGACCCAGCACCCTCCAAAGTGCAGGGCGCGCCCAGGTGGACACACCCCAGCCTCTGTCCACTCTTCAAGGTGGCTGGAGCGCAGCCTGGCCCACGGCCACCCACCCTGATGTCCAGGACCCTGCGCCTCCTGGAGAGAGAAGAGGAGGTCGCTGTGACTACACAGGAGGGACCTGAGGAGCGAGGGGGTGAGCGCTCCTCTGAGAATGGTGACAAAATGTCAGATGGATGACCACTGGAGTCACAGTGAACCAGCCCAGGCCCTCACCAGAGGTGTACCTTTGGGTAAGGCTCTTACCTGCACTGAGCCCCAGTTTCTGCATCTGTAAAGTGGTTCCGAAGGGGGTAAATGTGACCTATTTGTTTCTGCCCAGCACACAGTAGTTGCTCAAATAATAGCCTCCCCCCACCCCCAGCTTGATTAGAGACCACAACTGCCCTGACCTTCCATAGGCCCTATTAGGCACCCTACAGACAGCACCATAGATCTGCCATGTGAATGAAGATCCCAGGTTCCAGGCTGATGAAAACACAGGAACCCACCCCTCCTTCTTGTACTGGGGATCTAGGATTTGTTCTTGTTTGAAACTTCTGAAATCTCTGGAGAGGATTTCAATCCTCTCTCACAAATTATAATCAAATAAGGGAACTTTAAAGATTTATTTTTTTATTATTTTAATTTGTGTATACGTGTGTGTCTGCCTGCTGGTATGTGCCTGCACCGATGTCCCTGAGATTATAGGTGTTTGTGAATCACCAGATGTGGGTGCTGGGAAGAGAACTCAAGTCCTCTGCAATAGCAGTTATTGCTATTAACTGCCCAGTTATCTCTCCAGCCCCTACATGGGGAAACTTAAAACAAAGTACCAGTGTCAAGACTCTAAGGCAGACCAAGGGAATCTGGCTTGATCCCCTAGGATCAGATGAGTAGTCATGTCTCCATCTATGGTGGATGGGGCCTGGGCTGTGGTCCTTCTTCAAAACTCTCTGGATGATTCTAATGTGCTAACCAGATAAAAATCACTGACACAACCTTTCTTGGCTTTGGCCCCTTCCACAGAGGTCCTGGCTTGGGAGTCATGAATGGAAGGCTTAAGCAGGGGCTGGAGAGATGGTTCAACTGTTAAGAGCACTGACTGCTCAATTCCTAGCACTCACATGGTGGTTAACAATCATCTCTGTAACTCCAATTCCATGGAATCTGACACTCTCGTCTGACCTCCACGGGCACTGCATGACATAGGTGTACTTACATACATGCAGGCAAAACATTCATACACATCAAATAAAAAATAATAAATAAAATATTTAAGAATAAATAGGCTTAAGCAGGGAGTGGTAGCTCATATCTGTAATTCCAGCATTTGGGAGGCAAAAGCAGGGGGATTGTTTCGACTTCAAGGCTGTCCTGGGCTACTTTGTGAGTCCCAGGCCAGCCTGAGCTACAGAGTGAAACTGTCTCATACAACAGCAACAAAGAATGAACAATGTCCTTGCCTATGGCTCACTCCCTAGACACCTCCAGGGATCTTCCCAAATGGTTACTTCCCAGCATGAGTTATCATCCCCTGAGGCTTCTAGATACCTATTGGTACAGATGTGACAGCTTCCTCATGACCCTGTCCTGTCCACTTCTCCAACTCTAATCCTGCTTCTCCTTTGGCCACTAGACATGCCACTCACTCATTCCTCTGTCTGCATTGTGCCTTAGCCTGTGCTGAGCTCCCTGTCTGGTATTCTTGTCCACTCTTCTCATCGCTTTCATCTGCCTATTCACCCCTACACACACACATGCACTGCCCCATGTCTCATCTGCTCTCTGCTCCCATGTCTCTTAGGCTGGCAGTTCCCAGACTTTGTTGCACTTTGAATTACCTGGGAGGATTCTCCCTGGCTCAGATCACAGCCATACCAATTAAATCAGAAAGTCTCTGAGATCAGTAGTATGTGAGGATTCACACTGCTGCCAGCACAGCCGTGTGAGAAGCATGGTCCGTGAAGTTGTGGACATGTGTCCCTTCCTGTGCCTGTCTTCCCATCTGTTCTAAGATCCTCTCCCTTTTTGTCCTCTCCTTAGGCCCCTATAGCAAAATCCCACAGGCTGGATGGCTTCACAATAGAAGTGTATTTCACAACATTCTGGAAGTTAGTAAACCCAAGATAAAGGTTCCAGCCCATTTGGTCATCTGGATCTTGTGTCCAGTGAGGGTTGCCTTAGTGATTCCTCTGGACTCTTAGACAGTGTCTTCCCAGGGCATCCTTATGCAATCCTTTCTCTCTCAGAGAAATTTAGCTTTCTAGTGGCTCTCTTCTGTAAGAGGAAAGAAGCTTTCTGATAGTATTTTGCTTTATTTTAAATTTTATTCATGTTTATAAAAATATTTTATTACTTTTTAATTTGTGTATATGAGTGTATTGCCTGAATGTATATAAGTGCACCTGTGTTGTGCAATGCCTGTGGAGGTCAGAATAGGGCATTGTAATCCCCTGGAACTTCAGTAAGGGACACTTGTTAGCAGCCATGTGGATGCTGGGAATTGAACCCAGGTCCTCTACAAGAGCAGTCAGTGCTGTTAACTGCTGAGTCATCTCTCCAGCCCCGTAAGTTTTATTCTTGTTTTTGAATCAGGGTCTCAGATAACTCAGGCTGGCCTGGACCTCATATGTAGCCAAAGATAACCTTCAACTTCTGATCCTTGTGCTCCGACCTCCCTGTTGCTGGATTACAGGTGTGCACCACCACACCCAGGTTACATGGTGCTGTAGATGGAACCCAGGGCTTCCTGCATGCTAGGCAAGCACCCCACCAGCTAAGCTACACCCCCATCTCTTTTCCCTTTTTTCTTTTTCTGAGACAGAAAAAAACATGTAGTCTAGGCTGGCTTCAAACTTGAGATCCTCCTGCTCATCCTCTAATCCTCTCAAGTGCTGGATTACAGATATACTTTCAGATATACCTTTTTTGGGGGAGGTGGTCTTTTGAGACAGGGCCTCCCTGTAGCCCCAGCTGGTCTGTGTAGACCAAGCTGGCCTTGAACTCACAGAATTTACAGAGATCATCGCTGTCTCTGCCTCCCAAGAGCTGGGATTAAAGGCATGTGCCACCACACCCAGCTCAGATATATCTTTATAATGATCTGAGCCCTAGGGAATCAAGACTCCATCCTTAAGACCTCATTTAACATTAAGTCTCACAGGCCCTATCCCCAAAAACAGTCACACGAAGTTGGGAGTCAACATTTCAGTTTATAACACTTCCAGAAATAGAAACCCTTTGACATTGACTGTAGTATGCACTATCCCAACATCTACCCAGTCACAGACCCCCTCACCTAGCTAGTGTTGATTGATGCCACAAGATATGGCCTGTGCACTGCCTCTCTCTACACAGGCATGGAGGTATGTTCTGAGATTCCCACACAGTTGGTAGGCATCTAGGAGAAGGGTTGATATGAAGCCAAAGAGGGCCCTATGGGGCAGCTCTCACATGGAGGGGAAGCCAGGCATCTCCAGTGGGAGACTCAGTCTCTCTCCTTGGCTGGAAATGCACGTTGGTCTTTGAGGCAAGGAAAGCCATTGGGATAACTGGCATTTTGAAAAGGCTGAAAAGCCCCAGGGAGGGGGAAAGTGATATCTGTGGATGGTGGGTATGTGGCCCCTAGAACTCTTCCTCCTGGCACAGTGCTGGCTTTTGCAGTATTCGTTTGCTGGGAGAGGGAGGTTTCCTTTTCAGAGTTAGGCAGAGGGGTGGAGGCAGGATTGGGATATCTTCCTGGAAGCCTGGGAATAGCCTCTGAGGAGCATTCATTTCAAATGCCTTAAAATGCTTATTAGCAGCTCTCCCCAAGGAAACAGGTCAAATCTGTTCTGTGCATTTGTGAATGACAACAGAGGGCTCAGATGGTTGACTCTGTCCAGCTATAGCTGGACAGCAGCTGCCAAAAAGGAGAGAGCTCAGGAGAGGTTAAGAGCATCAAGCCACTGAGCTCCCCACCATCAGGCCCCAGTAGGCCACAAAAGAACCCAGAGTAGGTGACAGAAACCAGGGCATTCTCTCTTTTTTTTAAAAAAAAAAATATTTTTATTTATTATTTTTATAAATCTTTTTTATTTTTTATTTTTTTATTTTGTGTGTATGCGTATATTGGCTGCATGTAGGTAAATGCACCCTTGTCGTGCAATGCCCGCAGAGGACAGAAGAGGCTGTCAGATCCCCTGGAACTAGAGTTATGGACAGTTGTTAGCTGCCATGTGAGTGTTGGGATTCGAACATGGTTCTGCAAGAACAGTCAGTGTTCTTAACTGCTGAACCATCTCTCTAGTCCCATTCTCTTTTTTTTGACTCTGACACTGACTCCCTGCACATCCTCTCTAGGGAGCTCAGTGTTCCCATTTCTGCAAAGTGGCAGAGGTTTGGAGCACAAGAGCTCCTCACTCTGATAGTCCCTTTCCTTGAGTCTAAATTTATAGACTTTTCCTGGGGGACTGAGGATACCCCAAGAGGTACTGTTCTTGAACTGGGGTTCACATTCTAGATAGTGACAATTTGAATTTCTGGAGTGGGCACTGGGCCAAGGACTCAGATACATCTCTAGGGAATCACACAGGTTTTAGAGGTCCAGAGC